CTGCACTGAGTGTGGAAGAAGCCATGAGACACATCTGTGCAGTGTAGTCTGCAAGAAGAGCGAGATTCACAGAAATGAGTTGGGAGGCTGATTTAGTAACTTAAACCAGAGGTGATGGTGACTCACCCAGGACAACGGCGGAGGAGGTGATTCCAGATCTATGCACAAAGCAGAGGATGTGGGGTTTGCTGGGATGTGAAGTACAAGCCAAGGAGAGGACTTCTGGATGACTCTGAAGAGTTTGGCCTGAGCAATTGGAAGGGCAGAATTGTCACTGTCCTGAGACAGGGAGGACTATGAGAAGCTCAGGCTTGCAGGGAGCTAAGGACTGGATGAGTAGGGGTGGGATGCCGAGTGGATGTGGTATTCATTTTCTACAACTAACACATTACCAGGAACATCATAGCTTAAAATAACACAAACTCTCTAAGCCATTCTGTAAGCTGGAAGTCTGAAATCAGTCTCTCTGAACAGAAATTAAGGTATTAGAAGGGATGTACTCTGTTGTGAACTTTGAAGGGAGAACCCATGTTGTGGGAATTATTTTAACTATGTAAAGATGTTACGGTTGTTTGTGTTGCAGACTATTCCTTTAACTGTGGAAAGGTGTGTTACATTTGTTTATGCTGCATTTGTATAATTATGCAAAGATGTGTTGTATTTGTTTAACTATGTAAAGATGTGTTGCTGTTTCACCTTGCCTGCCTAAGGCACCTGATTGGTCTGATAAAAAGCTGAATGACCAATAGCTAGGCAGGAGAGGGATAGGCGGGGCTGGCGGGCAGAGAGAATAAACAGGAGGAGGAATCCAGGCTAAGAAAAGAAGAAAGAAGAGAACAAGGGAGAAAGAGGGGGACATGAGCAGGACCAGAAGCCAGAGCAGACAGACAGACAGACAGACATGAGAAGCACTGAAAGTAAGATACACAGAAGGTAAGAAAGGTGAAAAATCCTGAGGCAAAACATAGATAACGAGAAACAGATTAAAATAAGAGCTAAGATAAGCCCAAGCATTCAAAACTAATAGTATGTCTCCATGTCGTAATTTGGGAGCTGGTTGGTGGCCCCAAATAAAAAGCCTGGTACAAATCCACTCTTTGCTGTCTCTAGGCGCTGCCCACATCCCTAGACTTGGGACTAGGTAGATTGCTTCAACTTCTGCCCCTCCCCACAGTCACATTGCCATTTCTTCTTCCACATGTCCCATCTCCTGTCCTCCTGCTCTTAGAAGGATACATGTGATTGCTTTTATGATCCACTTAGACAAAACAGGATTATCTCTACCTCAAGACCCTTAACATAGCACATACACAAAATTGTTGCTGTTTATGGTCCACACAAGTAGCAGGAGCTTGACTGTGGGTGTTTTCAGAATGCCGTTTCTCAGCCTACTGCAGGTATCCAAGTAAAAATGTTGTCTTAGCCATGCCCTAGATGACTCTGGACTTCAGAGAAGTGATAGAGACAGATGCATGAATCTGTACATCCTCAGTACTTGGGTGGTAGGTAATACTGTCAAGTCTGGAGCCGCCTGGGAGTGAGTACAGACCAAGATGTCCAAGCAGTTAAAAACAGAAGTAACAATTGATCCACTAATTCCACTTATGGGTATATATCCAAAGATCACAAAGAAATATCATGTCCATGCCAATTGCCATATTGTTCATGACAGACAAGACATGGAAATAACCTAAATGTTGTTAAATAAAAACCTCAGGTGTCCACTGTTTTAGACTATGCTCTGTACTGGACTTTACCAGACCAGGTTGAAAGTAAAAATGGAGTCACTCACACTAAAGATGCATATCACCATGCAGACACTAAGTCATTTTTCTGAACTTCCAAGAGTTTTTCAAGGTGTATTGTCCAGAAGGACACTACTGGGCAGAATTCCTTTTCCTGCTCCAATAGCTGTAGCTGATCTTGCTGAAATTCTAGGGGCCTCCCCTGGTGGTGGCACCCACTCTTATTCCCAGCACTCAGGAGGCAGAGGCAGATAGATCTCTGTGAGTTCAAAGCCAGCTTGGTCTACAAAGGGAGCTCCAGGACAACCAGGGCTACAAAGAGAAACCCTGTCTTGAAAAACAACAATAACAACAATAATTCTAGGAGCAAGCAGAGATAAATGGAGGTAGGATTTTTCTCCTTGGCTCTTTTGTCCAAAGTCTATCTCATGAGTCCTTCTAACAAACCTCAACTAAAAAATAAAATAAAAAGATCCGGGCGGTGGTGGCGCACGCCTTTAATCCCAGCACTCGGGAGGCAGAGCCAGGCAGATCTCTGTGAGTTCGAGGCCAGCCTGGTCTACAAAGGGAGCTCCAGGAAAGGCGCAAAGCTACACAGAGAAACCCTGTCTCGAAAAACCAAAAAAAAAAAAAAAAAAAAAAAGCTTGTCCTTGAGTGAACCCCTCCTTCATGATGGAAGCTGACATACCCCAATATGAGCCCCAAACACAAGCAGGGATGCCTTGGCCCTTAGGTAGACGCTACATAGCCAGCTCCCAAACACTATGAGGTTCTGAGTTGGTGAGAGCCGAAGCATGTTTATATACTGCCTCTAGAGATGTAGAGCTAATTATCTTCAAACCAGGCAAGTTTCCAACTCTCCCAGGGAAGTTTATTTATGCCTTAGTGTAACTTGGGGCAATGACTGCAGTCTCTGATTTTAATTTCAGGTTTGAGAAATTGTGAGGCATTCCTTCAGTGCTAATGGGAAGAGGCATACTGAATTAGCAACAGCTTGCAAGAAGTCTGCTAAAGAAAACCACAAGGCTCTGGCTTGGGCTTTGAGAAGAAAGGGTCAATGCACTTATCTTCTCAAAAGGCCGCCACTTAAGAGGTCACCAGGACCATTTTCAATCAAGGCTGGCGGTATAGCACCGGCTATCACAAACTGAGTGCTTGCCAGCTGACAAGTATTGGCCCATGTGTTACATACATGTGCACTGACATTTAATCTTCATAAGAGTTCTGTGCAACAGGGGCTTCTGCCAGCCTTATTTAGTAGACAGCTGAAGGAGACTCAGTGAGATCACATGGTGACTGGTCTTTGCCTTGGGAACTGCAGATGGGTGCATAAACCACCACACCTGGACGAGGAGCCTGCAGGTCAGAAAGGGAACTGGACTCAAGACCCTGGGAAGAGGCTGGATGTCTGGATGTGAGCCTGATTCATTGCCTGACATCCGAAATTGCCAGTGCCATCAAAATTCTCCCTTAAAGGGGATGAAGAAATGGCTCATCAGTTAAGAGTATGTGCTGTTCTTGCAGAGGACCATGAGTTCGATTCCCAGTATGCACATTGGGCTGCTCACAACTGCTTGTAACTCCTGCTCCAAGGGTTGACAGGTGTGTGGTCCACATAAAGACAAAGGAACACACACACACACACACACACACACACACACACACACACACACACACACACGAATACACATACAAATAAATAGAAAATAAAGTAGGTAATCATAGAGACATTTGTTTCTGAGCAAGGCAGTTCACTGAGGACACTGAAGGAGGCTGTACTTTATCACTCAGCTGGAATAGCATATAAAAAGAGAGGCAATGTAACTGGAGTTCATTTGGTAGAGTACTTCCTTTGTGTGCATGAAGTCCTGGGTTCAGTTCCTCAGAGTTGAAAATAGAAGAGAGGAGACAAAAACAAGCAAAAAATAATTCCAATGTTCTCAGCTGTCTCAGTCAGTATTCTCTTGCTATGAAGAGATGCCATGACCATGCAACTCTTCTAAAGGAAGGCATTTAATTGGGGCTGGCTTACAATTTAGTCCATTGTCATCATGTTAGGAAGCATGGGGGCACGCAGGCAGACATGGTGCTGGAGATGCAGCTGAGAGTTCTACATCTAGATTCATAGGCAGCAGGAGAGAGAGAGGGAGAGAGAGAGAGAGGGAGGGAGAGAGAGACTGGGCCTGGCTTGAGCATTTGAAACCCCAAAGCCCACCCCCAGTGACACACTTCCTCCCACAAGCCATCCTCCCTAATCTCTGTCAAGTAACACCACTCCATAATGACCTAAGCAATCAAATGTATTAACCTATGGGGGGGGCATTCTTATTCAAACTACCACACCAGAAGAGGCTATTTTTAAAAAACACATAATGGTGATGTTTTTAACAAACTGATTTTAACATGGTGCCAAAGCTTCACCCCTCCAAAGTATTCATTGTAGCAGGCTTTTTCGTTTGGGCCACCAACCAGCTCCCAAATCATGACTTGGAGACTTATTGTTAGTTTTGAATTCTCAGCCTAACTTAGGCTCATTTCTGGCTAGCTCTTTTAACTTATTATTAACCTGTTTCTCTTTATCTACCTTTTGCCCTGGGGCTTTCTGTATGTCCTACTCTGTGTCTGCTGGCTGGAGCTGCCTAGCTGGCTACAGGAGTCTCCCATGTTCTCTCCTTCTTTTTGTCTCTCGGGCCTAGATTTCTCCTCCTACTTATTCTCTCTGCCCACCAGACCCACATATCCCTTTCCTGCCTAGCTATTGGCCGGTCAGCTTTTTATAAGACCAATCAGGTGCCTTAGGCAGGCAAGGTAAAACAAATGCAACACATCTTTACACAGTTAACAAAGGCAGCAGAAACAAATGTAACACATCTTTACACAGTTAACAAAGGCAGCAGAAACAAATGTAACATACCTTTACACAGTTAAAGTAATTTCCACAACAATGCATGGCATTCATAAACTGAGATCTGGCAAACCAGAGCTGAAGAAAAATCCAGGAAAGAGCACCCAGAGTCTGCCATGTTGGTGTGCTGATTACACTAACCCAGAAGGCCCTCAGAAGACAGCCCGTGCAGAGTGACCTATCCTGAAAAAAATATATGAGCAGTTGCTGACCCAGGACCAAACACTGTTCTAAGCACTTATGTCAACTTAAGTACAATCTTAATTAGGGTGACTATTGCTGTGATGAAACACAACAAGCAAAAGTAACTCAGGGAGGAAGTCGTTTATTTTGTTTACACTTCCCACATCATTGTTCATTATTGAAGGAAATCATGGCAGAAACTCAGCAGGGACCTGGTGGCAGGAGCTGATGTGGAGGCCATGGAGAAATGGTGCTTACTGGGTTTCTTATAGCAACCCCCACCCAGGACCACCAGATCACCCACAATGGGCTGGGCCCTTCCACACCAACCACTGTTTAAGAAAATACCCTACAGGCTTGCCTACAGCCCTATCTTTTGGGGGTATCTTCTTAATTGAGATTTCCTCTTCTCAGATGACTCTAGCTTGTGTGGAGTTGATGTAAAACTAGCCAGCACAAGCACATAAGGAAAAGATTTAATTTTTCACAACTACCCTACAACACGGGCACTATTGTCTTATTTGGACAAGCAGAAAATGAAAGCACAGAAGGACCAAGTGTCTTGCCAAGGTCACATAGAAGGGACCCACCCCACAAACCCGAGGAGAACAGCAGCAATCACTGCACATTTCACCACAACCATCGAGTTCAGTCAGTGACGTTTGACGGAATTCACGGAAGCCTGAGCCCTGACTTATGACAAGAAAAGTCTGTTGGTTGAGGCAAAGAAGATGTTGTGAATGGACTCTCCCCCTAGAAGAAAAAGTAAAATAAATGTTAGGAGCTGGCTATGTCAGAAACACAGATGAACACACTGTGTCTTTTTCCCAGTGCCAGAATTTATTGAATAACAATTCACAAGGTGCAATAATTTGCCCAGCAGTGTTCTCCTTGGGAGCCTTCCAAAGCCAACACCAGCTTCTTCTTTCAGTCTTAATCATTAACTCTCAGATGATGCATTATACATCACACAGTAATTCCCTCCTCCTCCTCCTCCTCCTCCTCTTCCTCCCTCCCTTCCTCCCCCTCCCTCCCTCTCCTCCTCTCTTTCTCCCCTTCACACTCTCTCCCTCTTCCTCCCGCCCCCTTCCCCTGTATGTATGTATGTGCGCACATAATGTAGGTTAAAGAATGGCTACCAAGGATTAAAGAGGCTGCAGTTGAATTCAGGAATTTCAAAGAGTTCCGAGCTGCCGAAACTGGGAAACTGATATGGATGCAGAAAGATCCAGTGCAAACACCGCTGCTTCTGCTCTATAGTCAGGCCGCAGGGCCGGGGTTAAACTGAAGATTCGGAGTGTGAGGAGGCAGTAGACGTAAAGGTCAGGATAGGATCCACGTGGACAAACGGGTGGACAGATGGACAGCACTGGATAAATGAACAGCTGGCAATTTGAGTAGCCCGCACACAGGGCTGTGGATGACAGGTTGGTGTACCATCACCGTCACAGCATTAGGTGCTCCTCTTCTCGTTACCGGTCCAGGTAAGGAAGTTGCACACTATTCCTCAGTATGGTATGTCTGGTAAGTTCTTGGCCCTGGTTTTCCTCATATGGCCTTAATCTGCTCGTGTGTTCTCCCCCATTTACTTTGATAACTCTATAGGGGGATCTTTCTACTTTTAGAAATGAGTTACTTATCATTCTGTACCTCGGGGGTGGTGGGAGACTGTTTACGTAGCCCTCAAGATGCAGAGTCATCTTGCTTCCGAATTTGCGCCCAGAACGGAATCATTGTAAACTGGAACCCCTCAGGGCAAGGCACAGGCTGAGAAATCCCTGCTTTACACAATATATACAGACTTAGGGTGAAGTACAGGCTGACCTCAACAGTACGCAGGCCATGCTGCTGGAGAGGGCTTCCATTAGGAGAATGGGGCCTTCCGTGCCCAGCTGGCAGGGAACGGTTCTGACATCTGTGGGTTTAGCTTCACAGTTATGGAATGTTTCAGAGGGAAACTTAGAGGGAGAGACGCTCCCCCACCAAGAATGAACAAATGCCACCAGGAACGAGACACAGAAGAGATGCTGTGCAAAAAGTGCGGGTGAAGGAAGGTGAGCCAGAGCCAGAAGGAAACAGAGGGAAAAGAGAATCACATTCCCAGAGTCATAACCAAATGCAGTCCAGGTGGTGGCAGTTACAGGGACAGCTTGTCTAATCTCTTGAACGATGCACAGTGCTCTGAGGACGCGTTTGATGTTGAAATGTTTTCTTGTGTAAGAGTCACAAAAGGAACGATTGTTGCCTGACATTGCTTCATGTTTATGAGACTGTGATGGCTGGTGTGGTCATTGCGTGCTGGGGCCCTGAGCGCGGCTCTTGCCATGGGCTGCCTTTGGCTCTGTCTCGGTCTTGCCTCTCCGGTTTGGGTTTGGCTGCTGCCCTGACGTGTGCTTAACTAATGGCATTTAGTATTTGAGGAAGGAAAGAGGAAAACCTTTGAGGAGATATATATATATGTTTTAGGAATTCTAAAGAATAATTTCCAACTAAACAATTCTTTGAAAAAGCATCCAGTCTCAATACAATCTCCTTAAAATCCCATCAAACAACCGGAGAACCCTTGAGATCTGCTCTCTGGGCCTTATCAAGATGAAGCCAGCTCCAAAAGGCCAGGGACATTAGTGGCTGACTCAGCCAACAAAATCTTGGAGCCAAGATGGACAAAACCAAGCCCAGAGTTCACAGAGTGAGCCAAAGGGCCCCAGGGTATTTGTCTCCCAGCCTCTATCTGTGAGTGTTCCTGTTGCCATGGGGACAGAAGCCCTCTGGTAGGGAGAACTATTATATCCACCACTGGCTTCATGTGGAGATGCATGGCTTTGTTGCTGTTGTTATTGTTGTTGTTTTTCCTTTGTGTTTTTCAATCAGCACCTATAATTTCAACCAACTCAGAACACCTATACCCAATTAAGAGCAGAAAGGAATGGAAGGAATCATACTTTGGCTCCCTACCCTGGCATTTTTCTCGTTTGAGGAGAACTATAAGTCATAAACACGAACGGGGGTGTGAGACACAGCTAATCCTCTACTCGGTGTCATTGGCAGGATAAAACCTGGGGGCTCCACCGGGCAGAGTTTGCGGGGCTGGAGTCCATCTGTGAAATGTTCTCTGGGCATCTAGATCAATGCATTTCCCTGGTAATCTTGGAGCCCAAAGGGGCTCTGAGCTCCTCTGTGGGTCCGACTGCAGCAAGCAGGCTTAGCAGGCTGCCTGCCTCCTCCTCCACCAGCACAAGGCGGCCCTCCCAGCCTCTCTCCAGGGCTGATTTCCTAAAGGACTTTCTTGACCATCCAGATACACCCTCATTTCAATTCAAGCACACCCACCCACAGGCTGATCCAGGAGGGGCGGGAGGCTCACCATGAATTGAATGATAAATAATGCATGTGACCAAAACAACACCGGCACTTATTTGCAAATGAAAGAACACTAGAGAGTACGGCTGATGGAAACATAAGAGATTAAATTCAAGCAGGGAGTGGGAGAGGATGTTTTTTCTTAAAGCTCCTCAAGAAACAACGCTATTGTTTCACTTTTGAAAGGACAGTTTCTGTCTTGAGTTGGGAATTCAGTGGGCAGGTACAACTCTGGCCCCAGGGGAGGGTGTCAGGCCACTAAGCAGAGTTCCAGGGGGGAGGGGGCAGAAAATTAGCCCAGATCTAAAAGGGTTTTCCCCTGATGGTAGGTCAGCTCAACTTCTATTCCCTTCCTCGGCAGTTTTCAATTTTCTCTCATTTTCCCGCTCTCCCTCCAGAGTCAAACCCATTATGTCCCACACGGAACATCACCTCTGGCGGTGTGGGCAGCTTTGGGACCCAAACTGAATCTTGAGATGGAGCTGTGGAGTTTGCTCCCTTTTCATCAGTCACAAGCCAATAAGAATTAACCTGGAGCGGCCACTGGGTAAGGGACTCCTCCTGCCTGAGGATCAAAGCAAGCTGAGTCAGGAAATGAAGAGCTACAGTTCCTAGCATGGTCCTTTGAGCACCTGGATCCATCCATTCCTGAAGCCAAACTGCCCTGGACAAGGCCACACCTCCAACAAGGTCATCAACTGAGGACAAGTATTTAAACCTTCAAACCTACGGGAGACATTCTCATTCAAACTACCACAGTTACCCAGTGAATTCATTTTGTGCATAAGTCAGTTCTGTCTGGGTTTCTGTCACTTGCAGTCAAGAACTCAACAAGGTGGACTCACTGGTGGCTGCTACTAAAATACCTTGGGTGGCATCACTGGGTACCAGAAACAGACAGGAAAGGGGGTGAGGACAGAGCCACCTTACAGATGGGGCGTCAGAGCCCACGGGAGGCTGCTGGATACCTGGCCTCATCTCTCTCTCTCTCTCTCTCTCTCTCTCTCTCTCTCTCTCTCTCTCTCTCTCTGACTCTAGAGTAAGAGCGTGATAAAACTAAAAGTGTCTAGGGAGCCCAGCTGAGGACTACTCCCATACTTTAGATGTTAACAGCCTTAAAATGCCAATGTGTATGAATACAGACTAGATATGTTCCATCACTGGAAAAAATGCTTGAGAAAAGCAACTTAGGGGAAGAAGTTATTACCACTCACTGTTTGAGGGAGTTCTGTAGCTGGAAGTTTCTCTGGTCCTGACTTGCCCAGCAGTCCAGACAAATCTCTCCCACCCATGGTCCCACAGCTGCTTACGTAATAATCCCTCAGAGGCTTATATTAATTACAAACTGTATGGCCTATGGCTTCAGCTTCTTGCTAGTTAGTTCTTTCTCTTGAATTAATCCATTTCTATAAATCCATATGTTGCCACGTGGCCATGGTGTTACCGGTCTGCTGACATCTTGTTGCTCCTTCTGCGGTGGGCTCACGTCTCCCTCGACTCCACCCTTCCTCATCTCATTTTCAGTTTGAAGGTACCACCTAACCTTATCCTGCCCTGCCATAGGCCAATGCTGCTTTCTTTATTATCCAATGGGAGCCACACATGTTCACAGCATACAGAAAGACATCCCGCAGCAGGGTTCGGCCCATTAAGGTGAGGAAGGCCGAGCTGCATGCAGTGTTGGGAGCACACTATGGGGACTCCTTATGTCGGTGGACCAGGAAGTAGAGTCTGGATTGGAAGCAGAGTGAAGCTTTAATCCTCAAGGCTTGGTTCCCAGTGACCTGTTTCCTTCAGCTATGTCCCACCTACCAAAGCTCCAGAAATGTCTCAAACCAGCACCAAAAGCTGAGGACCAAGTGTCCAAACACGTGAACCTGTGGGGAATAGTTTGCATTCAAACCACAACAAGTAAGAACAATCTATGAGCATACACGGATACACATATGCATTTTAGTCATTTAAATGACATTTTCTGTGGATACCTGTGAGATTTATCTTACTGACAGCCAAAGCCTGCCTAAGAAAATGAAGGCTTATTAACTGATAAATTAGTGAGTGGTTATCTATTTGTTAAGGATTACATAAGGTACCTATCAAGAATTATGTAACAGACATGAGATTTGAGGGAAATGACTCTCTCCAAAAGTAAGAAGTACAGCCTGCCAAACAGCTCAAAAGGTATTTACCACAACATGGAAAATGCAACTGGGTGTGCATGTGAGAGGAGTGTGTATATGTGTGGATGTGCTGCTTGGGAGAGGTCTGTGCCCATGCGTGTGGAGACCAGGAGCCAACAGCAGGTGTCTCTTTGTTATTTTCCATCGATAATTTTTAAGACAAGCTCACAAATTCAGCTAAACTGGCTGGTCCACGGGCTTCAGAGATCTGAGACATCTCTTTCTCCCCCACCCCCCAGCACTATAGTTACTGATGTGTACCCCTTCGCCCTGCTTTTCATATGCTTACTGGGGATCCGAACGCATGTCTTCATGCTTGCATGCCAGGCACTTTACCCAGCCCTGGAAAAAGCAGTTTTAAATACGAAAGTTAAAATAAAAGTGATAATCAAATAAAAAAATGACATTATAAGAAATACAACTCAGGAAATGGGTAATGAGAAGGATGCTCCTACAAACAGCTCATTAGGGGAGACCCAAATCCTTGCTAGCTTGAATCATGAACATTTGCATCTTCTGGACCAGTGGTCAGAAAAATCCCCACAGGACTTAGGGAAATTCTGTACTATGTTTGGGAGGAACAGATGGGATCCCTCGGTGGTTACAGAAGTCCTGCTCAGCTGACAAGCTCTTCCCCCCACTGGACCCACGGCTCCCTTTGGGCACTTCTGTCTCTTTGCCGGACAGCCAACCTGGACATTTTGCCTTCAGTACATAACGCAGACTGGCTAGTTGTTAAGTTTGGGTCTAGGACAACATCTGCTCTCATATGGACTGTGATCTCTCCTGGTTGGTCTCCCTGCCTCCACCCAGACCCTCCCTGTGGATCACGGAGTGAGTCTTTGAAGATATGTCAGATCCTGTCACTCCTCAGGACAAAACCTCAGGAAAAGACAGTTTTACAAACACGCACAGGAGCCTCTGGCTCTTTGGTCTCTGCTCCATGACCTGTTTCTCTGAGCTCAGCTGCCCTATACCTTCCCCTTCTCTCTGTCAGGCCTTCCCCAGTGTTTTGGAACTCATTACTGGACTTTGAAAATGCCAGGCTCCTCTGGGCTGATTGCATATGCCTTTAATCACAGCTACTCAGGAGGCTGAGACAGGACGATCACAACTCTTAAGGCATGCTTGAGCCTCAGGTGAGTTCAAGGACAGCCTGGGCAACTTAGTGAGACCCTGTCTCAAAAGCAAAAGCAGAAAGAGAACCAGACTGTAATCAGTGATGCAAAACCTGCTGCTGAGCATGCGCATCAAGGTCCTGGGTTGGCTCCCCAGCCCCACAAAAAAACAGAGAGAATAATTGGCAGGAGAAGGAGAGGGAGAGGGAAGGGCAGAAGGAAGGAGGGAGATGGGAGGGGGAGGAAAGGAAAAAATAAAGTTTCTGGCCCAGAACCACCTTGGGTCCTCATCATCCCTCGCCTTCCAACATTCTTCCCCAGGGTGCCTGCAGGCCGCATCAGTCACCTCTGAGTGCTGAACTCGAATGCTACGCTGTCCCAAAGCCTCTTGAGACCACCCTACTTGATCTTATAAGCTTCTCCCACTCAATAACCCTCCATCTCCTTCCGGCTTAACTTCCCCCATTGTACTCATCAGACCCACAAGAAAGCAATGTTCTTAAAATGTATTCTGCTCATGGGATAATTGTTTAAGCCACTTATTAATGAGAATGATAGAGCTGATTCAAAGAAAAGCAAAATATAGATTTATATGTAGTCAGTCTGGGGGAAGAAAAGGAATACTGAAATAAGGTTGTAAATTAGGTACAAGAGCAGTTCATGTTCTAAAGGGCAATACAATTGTAAACTTCAAAGTATCTTATTTGCAAGGACCCTACCCCCCCCCAAACACACATAAAATACATCATTACATCCTCGTGCGTGTGTGTGTGTGTGTGTGTGTGTGTGTGTGTGTGTGTGTGTGTATACGTGTGACACATGGGAAGGGGCAGTATGTGTGCAAATGGAGGCCAGTGATTGATGTTGGGTCTTCCTCTATCGCTCTCCACCTCGTTTTTTTAAACAGGGTCTCAGCGAATCTGAAGTTCATCGTTTCAGCTGTACCTGCTAACCAGTGAGCTCCTAGAATCCACCTGTCTCTATCCCTCCAGCGCTGGACACACAGGTACCTGCTACCGTGCCTGGCTGTTACACAGATGCTGGAGATCCGAACTCGGGTCCCCACACTTGCACAGCAAATACACCCTGGCTTCGGAATATTCTTCTTCGGTTTTAGAAGCTGATAAAAACACCTGTGTCCTCGCTGGTTAAAGTCATTTCCCTTGAGAGTCAGAAGACAGTCGGGGTCTTATAAAGTACTCCCTCGTCACTATTATACACCCAGTACCTAGAATGGTGGTTGGTCCACAGATAGAAACAAAACCTGGAAGTATACTAGAGTCAACATATTGCTGAATTTGCTTCGTGAAATGCTACTACTGTATGGGTATTGGTAATGGACAGAGTATATTGTCTTACTTTCTTTTTAAACTGGCTGTAAACTCACTCTCTTGCAGGTAGCAGGCCTTGGTGCTCAGCAGCTTCCCAGAATTAATTGTCACTGAAGGGTTTCATAAAGTCTTGTCTTACAGGCAGCTGCGTTTGCTTCTATCAGATCCTACACCACACCCAAGGCCTTTCCTTGCTCACTTTAGATTGGCTGATCACCATTATTGTGGGATGGAAACCCCACTCTTTCAACCTTTTGGGTCAATAACAGTCATTGCTACACATGAATGAGCTGAGAGGATTTTGCAAAAGTGATTTTACTTTTCCTTCTCTACAGCTGCCATGATGTCTGTTTGGACATTAATTAACTGAGTTTGTTTGTTTTTTTAATCCAAGAGCATGATTGAAGGGATGGTTAAAAGGACATAGAAGTGATCATGACATTTCAAACTGGACAACTGAAGTTAGACTGGATTCATAAAGACACCTACATCCCTGAATGAGTCATGAGTCCTGCAAGTTACTTAGTTTCTCAGGGTCTCCATGTTCTCGTTTGTGAGAGTGTATTTTTATCAGCTGTTTATAAGAATATTATGATAACATGTGTAATGTGATTAGAAGCCTGCCTGGTGGGGGTTCGATGAATTTTAAGAATTTGGTTATCATTTGTAGTTAATAAAGGAAAAGTAAGATAATCTAGTTGGAAGCAAGTATCAACACGTTACTATCACCAGTGTAAGGCAGGTAGAAAAGGCCTGCAGTGAGCTGTCCTAACCACTTTTCTATTGCTGCAATAAAGCACTATGACCAAGGCAACTTATAAAAGGAAGAATTTCTCTGGGGGGTGGGTCATAGGGTCCACAATGGTGGGGACGGTATAGTAGCAAGCAGCAGACTTGATGACTGGTGCCAACATCTCAAACCACAGGCACAAAACAGAGAGAGCTAACTGGGCATGGCAGATGGTTTGGAATCTTGAAGCATTTCCCCAGTAACACATTTCCTCCAGCAAGACATTACCTGCTAAGCCTCCCCCAAACAGAACTACCATCTGGGGACCAAGTGTTCAAACATCCAAGCCTATGTAGGACATTCTCATTCAAATTTTCACATATGCTGAGTCAAAGGAAGAGAGAATGCTGGAAATACTAAGAGCAGACTGAGAAAACAGAATCACGGTTGAAAGCCTCTGAACTCTTGCTTGATAGTCATCTGAGAGTCAGCTGCTGTGGGGTGTTCTGTATGTTAAATGTGTTGCTCTGGTTGGTTAATAAATAAAATACTGATGGGCCAGTAGCCAGGCAGGAAGTAAAGGCAGGACAAGGAGAGAAGAGAATTCTGGGAACAGGAAGGCTGAGTCAGGAGGCGCTGCCAGTCACTGCCATGACAAGCAACATATAAAGATACCAGTAAGCCACAAGCCACGTGGCAATTTACAAATTAATAGAAATGGGTTAATTTAAGATAGAACTAGATAGCAAGAAGCCTGCCACAGCCATACAGTTTGTAAGCAATATAAGTCTCTGTGTGTTTACTTGGTTGGGTCTGAGCAGCTGCAGGACTGGCGGATGAGAGAGATTTGTCCTGACCTGGACCAGGCAGGACTGGAGAAAACTCCAGCTACAGTCAACAGGGTGAGTCACTATTTCCTAGACCAAATGCTAATATAATAAGATTATCAAAATTCAATAGAAGCTTGAGTATGTGTATCCTTTCTTCCAAAAGAAAGTCACGAATGAAGTTCTATACCAGACCAAGTTCATGATAGTTTCATTAGAGAAAAGAGTTGTCTTGTCCAGCTTCCTCACTGTTCCCTGAGGGATTCCATGAGAGGGTAATGATGAGTCATACTATCATCTTAAAACTATAAGAGTGAAGCCTCTCTCCCACGGGACACTGAGTTTACACAACTAGCTCATATGACATGACAATTGACAATATGAAATTAATCTCATTCCCAATAAACAATGACATGATGTCATGGAAAATATAGTCTCTGAGCCAAGCAGAATTATAACCAAATCCTGATTTGGCTGAGTCACTTAGCCCTATTAATATTACTTTAATTATCTGGAAAAAAAAGATAATGCTGTCTGTCTCAGAGGGTTATTGAACAGAAAGGCAAGCCCAACTATACCGGTATAAAATATAGGCCGACACATAATTAAAAACTCAAGATAATATTAACTTTCCCTTTTCCCTGCTCTACTCTCATTGACTGCTATGGTCAAGTCTTTACCGTGTGATCTTACATACTACTCATTACTTTCCAAGATAGTTGTCACACTCCCAATTCATGTTTCTTAGGAATTCCCAAGAGGGGAGCCAGTTTAGCGTCATGGACCTCTCCTGTGGATACCCACTTACTGGAAGACCTCCTGTCAAGAGGATTATGCAATGGGCTCACCATGTCCAGTAATCAGAGTTCCAGAACAATAAACTTCTTGGCTTTACAACCTGGGTTTATGCTCACAGTGTAAACAACTCCACCAGCTCCTGGCATGCATCCCATAACCCCACCATGAGACTCACTATTCCTTACGGCTAGGTGTGCAAGGTGTTACATTACCTCCTCCATTCCTTTGTTTTCTCTACTTGCTTCCAGCTACAAAATTAAAACTTTCATGAGTTCAACTAGAAGCCAATATAGTTAGTCATAGAGTATGTGTGTGTGTGTGTGTGTGTATTAAAGAAAGGGTGGAGAGGGAGCTATGAGAATCAATTAGGCCACTATGTTTAGTCACAGAGAAAGGCCCTTTAGTGAGCATAAACTCTGAATAAGAACTATGTCTTTCATTATTTGCTTGTCTTCCATTAACATTCCCCATGTCCTTCCGTAGGCCAGAATCTCAGTCATTATTGAAAGAGTAAATCAGCAAATGTCTCACTTAATATGTGCTCAAAAGATGTGAATCTTATCAGACAAAAAGTTCTCGCTGAAGCATTAGGACCCTGAAAAAAAGTACCTTATGGAGGGAGGGAGGGTTATAAATATGTGGGTAGCCAGAATTAGAGAGCGAGCTCCAATCAATAAAATAAGACTCAGCAAGGGAAAACAAATGGTTTCCATATGTATCAAGCTGAGAATTGGGGTTTGGGGGCTGGCTGAGCACGGAATCAGTAACGATTGGGAAGTCCACAGAGAGCTCCCCCGCAACAGAAAAACACAGCATGTTGGGCTGGGTGTGTAGATATCTTACTCTTCGGCCAAGAGGAATGTGTTTATTACTCTCGATCTGGCCTTTGCCAAGTTCAAACCTAGTGGGAATGCTAAGCATATTCCTCTTCAAGTTCCAAATTTCAAAATCAATGCAAACTAATCAAAGAAGTTTCAGAGTAAGAAAAAAAATGGGAACTATTAAAAATTTGAAAAATAAGTCTTAGGAGAGAATACACTGAAGATAGCCTGTGTTGGGTGTGTAAGAAAGAGACTGGGGGGAGCAATAAGTCTTTAATTATGTAAAGTTATGTTACAAAGAGGACAAAAATGACTTATCTCCACCATACCCAGAAGAGAGTTAAAATAATAGAGGCATGGTGCTGACCTTGCTTCATGAGCACTGATAAATCTGTGGTTTGGGCAGCTGAGACAGTCACTGTCACAATCAGCTCCACCTTGGGCTAAGTCTGGCCTTGATTCAATGTATTACTTAAAGGCTCTGTCTCTCCACCCCACCCCCCAGCCAACACAAATGAAAACTCCCCCACGGAAACCAGGAAAGGAGAGGAAAACGCCATGTCCTTTCACAAAGATGATATCAAAATTAGAATATTGTATGGTGATATTTTGTGTGTGCTCTGACACATAGAGCTTGCCTGGAGATCAGAGTGCAGAGCTGGCCACTAGAGGCCAGGCAGTGGTGGCACAAATCTTTAATTCCAGCACTTGGGAGGAGAAAACAGGAAGTGATATGGCTGGGTGGAGAGAGGAAGTGATAAGGCCGGGTGGAGACAGGAGCTAGGCCCTTTTCTGGCTAAGGAGTTGGCGAGGTAAGAGGTGGCTGTGGCTGGGGGTGGGAGGAGGGAGGATGGGGATGGGGGGAAATCCGTGACTGATGTGTGAAATTAAGTTAATTATAATATATATATATATATATATATATATATATATATATATATAAAGAGGTTGCTGTGGATTGCTCCTTAGTCTCTCTAATCTGATATCTGGCTCTGGGTTCTTCTTATTAAGACCAATTAGGAATCAAGCTACAATATTGTATATTAAAAAGAAAGAACAGGACTGGGGAGGTATGTACTATTACCACCATTTTGGCTCCTGGCTGTTTATGTGTGACTGTATTGGTGGACGCTGGGGGAGGGGTGGTGTAAGTAGAGGTATTTATCTCATATGCACAGTTCAGTTTGACTAATACATCCCAGGTATAGTCCTGGAATCTTTACATGGTCCCAGGATCTTTTACATGATGCAAGGTCATATGGTGTACTGGCTGGTTTTATGTCATCTTGATATAAACTATAGCCATCTTAGAGGAGGGAGCCTTGATTGAGAAAGTGCCTCTGTAAGATTGGGTAGTAGGAAAGCATGTTAAGCACTTTATTAATTAGTGCTTGATGGGGGAGGGCCCAGTCCATTTCGGGTGATACCACCCCTGATCTGTTGATCCTGGGTTCTACAAGAAAGCAGGCTGAGCAAGCCATGAAGAGCAAGCCAGTAAGCAGCTCTCCCTCATGGCCTCTGAATCATCTCCTGCTCCCAGGTTCCAGCCCTGCTTGAGTTCCTGTCCAGACTTCCTTTGATGATGAACAGTGATATGGAAGTGTAAGCCAAATAAACCCTTTCCTCCCCAAGTTGCTTTGGTCATGGTGTTTCATCACAGCAACAGTCACCCAAACTAAGACATTTGGCCTTTTTGTGGACCCAGGATCAGTGCCGTTAATGCTCACACTGCAGACAAGGCCATAAACACTACAGGATTCCTGGTGGCTTTCCTTTATGATCTTGAGTCAGCTCTCCAGATTCTGGCCTCCTCCTCAGATAAATTTCTCCTTTATGAGGCTGCATGGAGCTGGCCAGCTGTAGCTGAATGGGGAAGTGGCTTAATCCCAACTATTCCTATACCAGGAAGCCCTGGTTCTGACTGACACAGAGATGGTGGCATTGTGAGCTGGGCAAGATTAGCAGGGAAACAGGGATCTTGGGACTTCTCGGGATGTTAGAATCTGAGAACTAGGAAGACACATCAGAAACAAAGGATCTGGTGTAACCTTCTTAAAAGCAGAACACCAGCATAGGAACCTGGAGGTCAAAGCAGACACTGAGGGCTGGAAGTTAATGGAGTCCAGAAGCTAAGAACCTAGAGATGAGACACCAGAAACGATCCAGTCCAACAGCCCAGTCAAGTCAAGGGTCCAGAATCTGAATGAGCCCAAGCGGTAACTATCATAGTAGATGATCACGGGCTGGGGAGTGTGATTTACTGAGCCTGGTTGGCAAGGAGTCTCAAACAAGAGATGCAGATGTGCACACCTGACAGTACTTAGTCACAGCTGGCGAAGAAATGGTGGGTTCTAAAATCCCTTCAGATCCCAGCCTGAGATGAACTAGTTCCTGTGCCATAAGACCACTTAATCACTTTTTTTTTTTTAATTTGAAAACTGCTGCATTGTGTCAAGAGCTGTGCCCTGGAAAGACACAAAGGCAGGCAAGAAAAACAGACAGGCATGGACCTCCACAGCATACAGAGTGTGGCAGTGTGGGTCATCCATCATAGCCTACTGCAAGAGCAGAGAGGTGACAGAAACCACAGCTGGCACCTGGAGATGGATGAAGATGAGTGAGTGAGGCCGAATGAGGGTGCCATTGGGTAATGGTGCCAAGGTGTGTCCGGCATTGTTATGAATGCTTTATTCTCCTGAACTCATCACAGCCTCCAGAGGAGTCCTGTACTATCCCCATTTTGCAGGTTTTAAAAAAAATATGAGTCCCAAAGATATTAAGTAACTTGCTGGAGGCTCCCTAGGTAGTAAGTTGTAGAGCCTTTGTGATCTGTCCCCAGAGCTGGTACTTTGCTGCCTCTCAGGGGAGTGTTAGATTGGCTCTAGGAGGTCACTCCTAAGAGATTCCTGTGGCTGAACTCACCTGGGAAGTTATCTAGTCCTAGGGAAAGATCTTGAGTTCCTGGATTATTGTGAGCCCTCAAAGGAGATTCACTGCACTATTAACAAATAGTCTCCCATGGATAAATACAGCCACCCAGCAAGAATGCTACCTAGTGGATTAGTCAGGGTTCTCTAGAGGAATGAACTAATAGAATAAACATACATACATACATATTCATTGTTTTTATATTATATATAAAGGGTGTTTATTAGAATGACTTACAGGCTGTGGTCCAGCTAGTCCAACAATGGCTGTCCACCAACACAAAGCCCAACAATCCAGTAGCTGTTCAGTCCACAAGGCTGGATGTCTCAGCTGGTCTTCAGTATATACCAGAATACTGAAGAAGCATGCTCTAATGCCTGTGGAGGAATGGATTTGCCAGCAAGAGTGAGAGCATGTAGGCAAAGAAAGCAAGCTTCCTTCTTCCATGTCCTTAATTAGGCTGCCAGCAGAAGGTGTGGGCCAGATTAAGGGTGTGCCTTCGTACCTCAAAAGATCTAGATTAAAGATGGTTCTTCCCACCTCAAAAATTGTATTAGAAGTGGGTCTTCTAATGAAGAAGGAGAGGGAGAGGGAGAAGAAGAGCCTGCCAGCTGTTCCAGTTTTAGTTAATTCCAGATGTAATTAGTTGACAATAAGAATCACCATCACAGTTGGTAACAAAAAGAAATAAAATAAAAAAAATGGAAGCTCAAAAGTCTGAAGGCTATAACCATAATCAAATGTTTTAATCTCTTGCCAGATTTCTAGGTGTGAATCAATCTGTGGATAGGGAAACGTAACTGAAAGAGAGTCTGGGTCCTTAAAAGAAAGCACCTGTAATGTTGTAGAAAGTGCACGTAGTCGTGATGCTTCCAGTCTATCCTGGAAGAGCCTCATGGCCATTTGCCTCAGTAACGCTGAGGCAAAGGTGGATACCCAGACACATCTGTCAGTCTTTGAACTGATAACTGTATCAGCGAAGCATCATCATGGTCCTCTTGTTAGAGCAAGGGAACAAGAACCCCAGCTAACCATGAAGGTGACCTGGGTTACATCAGTGTCTCTCAGAATGGAGCCATTGAATCAATATACCTTCTATAGACTCCAGATGTAAACTGGATACCTATAGATGCAGAGTGATTCCTTGGGCAGTAGCTATGGGCATGGAGAAGACCCTCAAACCGTACCCCATATCTAATTGCAAGGCCATATGTACTAAGAAAGACAGGAGACAAATTCAATGGAGATTCGGGAACTTCATCCTCAGAATCAGTGGTCCAAAGACAGCCAAGTCATCCACTCCAAAAGAAGAGATAAATTACTGCATCTTGCATGTCCCACTCACAAAGTTTAGCAGTTTCTTGTTCCAGTGGTGAGTACCCAAGACATGCTCAAACTTCTTACCACACCTGGGATGAGGAGTCAACAGGCAATGGCCATTAAGAATATTCCTAAAAGCCACTAACACTTAGACAATAATCTAAGATGAATTGAAATACAAACTGTCTAACCCAAATGCCTCCCTAACTCACTTCCCCATCACAGGATTCCCCCCAAAATCTTCTGCATCCTCTAACACAAGAAGAAATTTTTTAAAAAATGGTTTTTAGTCTATTCAAATGAATACATCACTAAGGTCTCTCCTAGACTCTGGGGGAAGGGTCTGTACAAGTGAGGGGTTCATTAAGTGAGGCCCATTAGCTTCTAGAGCAATTCACCCAGAGCTGGGAGCCAAGAGAATGAATTTGCAGGGGGCCCTGGAGGAGGGCGCTGGGCAGGAAAGCCCCGTGTTAAGCTTCGTTTCCACTCCCTCTATAAATATTTCCACCCTGTGACAGTTGCCAAGGGCTTTTTGTTTGTCTGTGTCCTCAAACCAGGTTCCACCAGATACTCTTATAACGAAGAGCAGCAGGCGCTGAGAAGAGGCCAACTCTTCATCCTCATTCAGAAAGAGTAATAGAGACCAAGAGTTGACTCCTGAGTGGCTGCTCTGGGTGGGTATTAGGACTCCCTGGACATTCTTGGCACAGTCTATAAGTCAAGAGCTTTAGACCAAGACACGGAAGCTTGCCGCTTCATTTTTCTCCGTGGGCAGATCGATGGTATTTACTAGGCAGTGACTGCTGGGCGAATGGCATTATTGAACTGCAAAATGTTAGTATTATTGCTTTTCCTCTTTGATCTCGTGGGGCTTGATAAATTTATGATATCTTAATTGTTTCCATGGCAGCAAACCATATTGTCCCAAACAGAAAGCTTCATGACTTCATGGCTGGATTGAGAAAGAGGAGAGAGCAGATTGGGGGTGAGAACTCTGCTGGAGCATGAATTTCTTCAACGACAGCGAGGGGAATAGAGCGAATTGCAGACAGGCGAAATTGCTTTTGGCTTAACTGTTCTATGAAGTTCGCCCCAGCGAAAAGGCCCTTCTCCGGGCTTGTAATTTGTGTAATGACGCCTCCTTGCCTGGGTGCACAGAAGGCTAATGGTGGAACTCATCAGTTTGCGGAATTTCTCAGCGATGCTAATTCCAATGGTTTTGCAGTAATATCTGCATCTCTGCTGTAAGCTGTTTTGTTGTTCGTTTGGTGTGTGTGTGTGTGTGTGTGTGTGTGTGTGTGTGTGTGTGTGTGTGTGTGTGTGTGTTTACTCCCTACCAGGCTTTACCTCCACAATTTCTTTTTGAAATAAACCAACTTCCATACAGAAATGAGTCTTTTGTCGTCTGAAGACAGTTCGGTTAAGAATTCTCGCTCTTGTCACTAGAAGAATCCGCTTAGCATTTTTTTAGGTTGCTACTGGCAAACTGTATCGTTAATTCTCGTCTATTACTTGAGCAACAGCCAACCTCCTTTCTAGTGTTGAAGTCCTTAAATTCGCCTCAGTTAATTCAGCCCCACACAATGATGACTTGAGGTTTTCCAACCCCCTTCCCTCTCTACCACCCCCACAGTTTTTATATGCAAACATTTCCAGGGCCTCTTCTTCCAGTGACAACTTTTTCTCTTTCTTTTAGAGTCTAGATTTCCAAACGCTTCAAGTTTCTTCTGATTCAAACACCTCCTTCGACCCTCACCCAGTAGCACCCATCGACTCCACCCTCTCTGTAAACCAAGAAACTCGCTGCTTCTGTCGGGGTCTCCCAGTGGCCCTTCCCTCTTATTCTGAGAATTAAATCTTGTCCCCTGAGTTATACTCCATGATTCCACTGGAAATTGCACTGGAAAGCCTGATGGTCGGCTATGTCAACCCGGGTAGACTGTACTACTGCGATTTAGTTAAACACTAATCTAAGTGTTTCTGTGAAGGTTATTTGTAGATGTGTTTAACATGGAAAGGCAGAAAGGCCATTGAATGCTGGGTGGTGGTGGCGCACGCCTTTAATCCCACCACTCCTCGGGAGGCAGAGCCAGGCGGATCTCTGTGAGTTTGAGGCCAGCCTGGTCTACAGAGTGAGTTCCAGGAAAGGTGCAAAGCTACACAGAGAAACCCTGCCTCAAAAAACCAAAAAGAAAGCCATTGAAGGTGAAGGCTTGCAACAATAATGTTAGTCAGACTTCATCCAGTCAGAAGAATGGAAAGTGAGGCTCCTCAAAGCAGTTGTTCTTTAAGATGGAAACACTACCAACCCCACCTCACTTTCCAGCTTGCTACCTGCCCTACAGCTGTGCACTTTCCAAGCCCCTACCATTAGAATAACCACAACAACCAGCTCATTCAAATCATTCCCTTCCTCTCTCCCCCCCCCACCCCTGCACCTCTGTCTCTCTGTCTCTGTCTCTGTCTCTCTCTCTCTCTCTCTGTGTGTGTGTGTGTGTGTGTGTGTGTGTGTGTGTGTGTGTGTGTGTTAGAAGGACCTTGACTGACACAAAGAACACAGTGTTCAGTAGCACATTAGGTACCACATGAGACGTGCTTGGGTTCCCACCAGGAGCTGACAGCTCCCTGGAGAAGTGAGGTCAACCATGCTCGAAACAACAAGTTAATAAAAATAATAATCGTGAAAAACAGAACTTGGATGTTCCATGTAGGTGCCCAGAGGTTGGGCAAAAGAAAACACCAGCGAGAGCTAAAGAGGTCAATGAACATTTCATGGGGAAAGTGAGTGCTGAGCTGGCCCTGGGGGATCTGAGGTTTTGCAGGCACAGTGAGCTCAATGGGCATTAACCGAACAGTCCCTGGGACCAGGGGTAATAGTCTGACTAAGACTGGGTAGATCTGGACCACTTAGGAACCAAAGTTGGGGGCCAAAGCGGAGTTCGAAGCCACAGGAATACTAGGATAGCTGCGTAGACTTGGTGTGGTAAGGAGAGGACCTGGACCTTAGAGAGAAAGAGAACGCAGAAGTGATCTAAAAGAACTTAGGAGTTGCCCAGACACCCCCGGTAAACTGGTGGCAAGCCAGGGAAACAGGGTGTAACCATGTTCCTACAACAGCACTCTCTGCAAAGACAAGACAGACAGCATCCTGGAAACAGCAGCGTGTGGGCCTGTCGGTGGACTCTAGGAGCTGGGAGAAGAAAAGAGAGGATCCCAGAGCTCTGAAACAGGGACTTCTAGCAATTAATAAAATGAAGAGCCTGGGGAAGGGAGGAGATGTGGCCATGCGAACCCAGCATCCTCTTCCATCTTTCCCGGTCTTGGTAAATTTGTCAGGGCCAGGAACGCCTTGAGCTGTACTCAGCAGCTCCTGACATTGTTTCCTCCTCACCTCTCAACGTCTCCTCCTCCAGAGCTCCTCCTTCCAACACAACGGTGTGCTTCCGACAGGTCTGTGGCGTCTTCTCCTTGCAGCCATGCCCTGGTAATAGCCAGCGATTTCTTAGCCTTAGTGCTCATCATGACTAAGGGGAGAAGAGACCCCCAACAGCTACTCAACTATAGAACTGTGGCCGTGAGTTTCAGGATCCTCGGCTCATCCCTGTTTCCCTGGCATCTCAGCATCCCTTTGTTACTGATTCCTTTTGGTCCTCCACATTCGATGGCATGCTAAGTTCTGTTCACCCCGCCTTACCCTCTCATCCATCTCCCTGAGACTGCATTTCTACATCCACTGCCCCGGTTATGCGACATTCTCTGCCCTAGATAATTACCCCTGCTCTGCATTTCTCATCTGTAATGCGTTTTAGAGGCTGCAACCTGATTAGCATTCCTGAACTGCAGCTGAGATGCATTATTTATCTGTTCAGTGTTCTTCACCTCCTCCCAGTGCCTTTCAAATAAACTGAAGACCCCCGCCCCCCCCAACTCTTCCCCACTTGACCTTCTGCTCTTCTTGGCCATGCAGCCTGGGCCCTGTGTCCACTCAGCTGAGTCCTCCCATCCAGACTCCCAGTGGCTTTGCCTCTGGTATTCTGTTCATGCTGTTCCCTCCCCTGGGATCTGTATGTTCAAATACTACCTGAGTTTCAAGGCCCATATCAAAAAAAATGTTCCGTCTTTCTGAAGTCTTCCCTAATGTAAATAGAAGGGATTTCTCTCCACCCCACCCCCACCCCCGCTTCATCTAGCTTCTCATAAAATATAACATGTGACTCGATGTTTTTGACCTTAAATTATACTTCCTGTATATTTTACTCATCAGCCAAAATTACAAAACTCTTCATGCAAAGAATAGAATTCTTGATACCACGTCCCCGGGCAGAGCACTTAGCAGAGTGATTTGCACATATTAGGCAATAAACAAATAGTTCTTTAATTAACAGTTTTAAAGGGGTGGGGCATTTGGCTCCGTTGGTACAGTGCTTGCCTGGGATGCACAAAGCCCCGAGCCGAGCTTACTCTCCATACATGTGAAGGTGGGCACTGTGGCACACGCCCACGCAATCCCAGCTCCTGGCAGGTGGAAGCATGAAGGTTCCCTTCAGCTACATAGTGGATTTGAGGGCAGCCTGGGCTGTGCCTGACCCTGTAAAAAGTAAAGATCAGCAAAGTGTCTCAGTGGGTCAGGGCACTTGCCACCGGCCTGATGACCTGCGTAGACTCCCCAGAACTGACATGGCGGAAGGAGAGAGCTGACTCCTGGGAGCTGTCTTAGGACTTTACATATGCACCCTGCATATGTACATGACAAAACCTATTAGATGTTCAAGTACACAAAAAGGGATGAGGACCGGGCTCGTTTTGCTGTACAAGCCTGAGAACCTGCGTTTGGATCCCCAGCACCCAGGTAAGAGATGGATGTGGCGGCAGATCTATAACAGATGTGCTCGGAGGCAGACATTGACGGCTCACCGCCCAGCTAGCGTGGCCAAAGTGGTAAGCCCTGGTTTTGTAAGAGACCCTGCCCCAGAGAAAATAAGATGGAGAGCGAAAGAGATAAGCAGATACCAGAAGCAATAGAGACAGGTACTGGAAGGTGACCTCTGGCCTCCACACAGGCATGCGCAGGTGAACACATCTACACACATATGCACATGCCACCCCCCTCCACACACACGACAGAACACTAAATAAAATTATGAAGAAAAACTCTTAAGACTTGGTGCTGATTTGGGGAACTTTTTAAAAAGGAGACGGTGAAAAATACTTGGAATTACAGCTTAGGTTAATGGGAGAAAACTCATGACATTGGTAATAATGATATTCCTGAGAGCAGAAGGTGGCTTGAGTTTTAGGAGGCCATGAGACATCTACATGAACATGGCCATAGGAAGCTGAACACTTAAGACGGGAAGTGAACCCAGATGTGAGAGATATCATCTGAGACTACATACAGAACCCCCCACTGGGAAAAAAAAAATCTGTTCTTTATCTTTCCATCACTAAGAAGGAGGGAAGGTTTGATTTGCCCATTGTTTCAGAGGTTTTAACCCATGATCGATTGGCCCTGTCACTTTGGGTCTGTGGCAAAGCAGTATATTGTGGCATGGGCCTCTCAGGACAAGCTGCTCAGCTCGTGGGACCCAGGAAGCAAAGAGAAATTATCTTGAAGGGCATGGCCCCATGACCCAATTTCCCCCAACTGTTCCATCACGTCCCATTAGTGCTATGGGCTGCGGGTTAAGCCTTCGCTAAATGGGTCTTGGTGGAACATTCAAGAGCCAAACGATAGAAAAGTGTGAACCTGAGCTTGAAAAATAAGAGAATAGAAAATAAGAAAACTACAACCCAGAGGGCAAGGCAAGAAGGAAGATGTGACGAGGACAGCTTTTCCAGAAAGAAGAGTTACTAATGTTAGAGAGAGAGACGTCCATAAGTCATTCACCGAACGTCTACAATGTGCCCAGCACTGCTGGCTGTACCTGAGTCCAGTGATGAACACAGCAGGGTCCCCCAAAGAGTTCCATTTTGGTGCAGAAGAGCCGATGACACAAATAAACATGTATGGGGCACTTAGAAAGGGAAGATGAAGTGGGTACAGAGGATGTGGGACAATGGGGCAGAGGATGATGATGCAAATACAATTTGACACAGCTTAACTAGCAAAGCCTCAATTTGAACAGCACTCCAGGCAGACCAGGGACAGAACAAGAGCTTTCTTCTTGGGCCTCCTCCTGATCTGAGAGGTAGGTGGTAAGAACATAGGGTGAGCCGGGCGGTGGGGGCGCACGCCTTTAATACCAGCACTCGGGAGGCAGAGGCAGGCAGATCTCTGTGAGTTTGAGGCCAGGCTTGTCTACAGAGTGAGATCCAGGAAAGGTGCAAAGCTACACAGAGAAACCCTGTCTCGAAAAAACAAACGAAGAAGAAGGAGAAGAAGAAGGAGAAGGAGGAGGAGGAGGGGGTAGGGTGAGCAGGGAGAGGCACGTTGGAGACTTGAGGAAGGAGGAAAGGCTCACAACAGTCCCTGGCATCGAGCAGGATGACTGTGGGGCAGATGATCGGGAACCAGGCAGAGATTATGGAGAAAGGACAGCCAGAGCCAGAAGCGAGGCCATGAGGGACTTGGCCTCAGGGCATACACAACCTGTATCTAGTTCTCCATTTGTCTCCAAAAGAGGCTGGTCCTTCTTGAGTGCCAACCCCATGGCAGGCAGAGAAGCCTCTGTGTGACCTCTGATTTCAGTCTGCCTTATCAGTTCTAACTGTCACTCACCCCCGCTCCCCAGGTCCTTCTAGGACCACATTCTAAGGATGGCACTGATCATTCCCCATGAGAACCTTTGTCCTCTTCAGACTCCTTCCTGAGAAGTTGCCCCCCCCCTTAACTTTTCACCACCCGAGTTATTTTCCCACAGCCATATTGCTTTTATGAAACCATCATTTTTGGTGTCTCTTCTGTGAGCTTTTTAGGTCGGGATTCTCACACCTTTCCATGGCACTGGAGAGGAAGCCGAGGTGTTAGCTCTGGACCAAAGACTGTGGAGTTCTGTCTTAATCTCCTCCGAGTCCGTCTCCTTTGGCTTTCTGAATTTGCTCCACATCTGGCCCACAATCTATTCCTGAGCTGAGTCACATGTTCAGCCCTGACATTTGGGCAGTTTTGATGAACGTGTCCATTTAAAATCGCAGACCTTCTTGTCACGCAGCTCCCGGCTTGGTATTGCTCTCTTGCTGTGGTGTTTGTGTGCACGTTCCCGTCAGGGACTCCCCACTCCGGGCATGTAAGTATGGACAAGGGTGGCTAAGTGTGGAGTGAGTCCATGCTTTTTGGATCCCCTCCTCTGAAGTTCTCTGTACCCTATTGGTTTCCCCGGCTGTAATTCAGCTGTGTCTTTGTGATTCTCTGCGCACAGGGGCTTCGTGGGAGACCCACGTTGGGGCTTCACATCTTGTGTTTGTTTTGATGATGTGTTTACGGCTATGATCTCTTTCTTTGTGTATTCAGTATGAATTTTTGTGGTACCTGTGTACAAGTAGTGCCCACAGTGTCCATCATTCACTGAATGGAGTAGCGGAGATAAACAAAGCTTTGGTACATAAGGAACTTTAAAGGGAGAATGGAAAAGAATCAATGGGAAGGTGAACAGAGACGACGTAGACTTAAGAGAAATGAAAGCCATAAGTCACTAAAAAATTACTCAAAGCCGGGCAGTAGTGGCGCACACCTTTAATCCCAGCACTCGGGAGGCAGAGCCAGGCGGATCTCTGTGAGTTCAAGGTCAGCCTGCGCTACAGAGTGAGTTCCAGGAAAGGGGCAAAGCTACACAGAGAAACCCTGTCTCGAAAAACAGGGTTTTTCTGGAACTCACTCTGTAGCCCAGGCTGGCCTCGAACTCACAGAGATCCACCTGGCTCTGCCTCTCGAGTGCTGGGATTAAAGGCGTGCGCCACCACCGCCCGGCCAGGGTATGCAGCTTTAAACTTTAGAAACTATATTCGAGCTTGTCCAAGTCTTTGTAGGTCAAGTTCGAGGGCTTGTCAAGAAGAGGAGCCCGCCCGGAGTATAGCCAAGAAGAGAATCCTTGTCAGAACAGTCGCTGCGGAATAGAAGGCAAACCGTGTCCACATCATTTACTTTTTCATTCCTAACAGGTTAAGTGTTGACCACACTCTGAGACCGTGTGCGCAGTGGTGGGACGGGCAGGTTGGCCCCGAGAGTGAGGTCTTGGAGTGACTGCTTAACCCTGGGTCAAATCATGAGGGAGGCACAGGGTGACAGGTCCGAGCACAAGCATCACTCACAGCTTAGAGAGACAACAAGGCCACGCAGCACTTCCGTTTTGAAGCTTGGTTAAAAGGCCGCATCGGGCCCAACCCGGTTATCACAGCATATACATACACATACACGTACCAAAGCTATCCTGGCTTTAAACTTTCTAAAATTACCAAAAAAAAAAAAAAAAGGATTTTCTCATTCCCCAGACCCTGGAACTTCTTTTCCCATCACAAATTTGCGAGGTCAGAGGTCAGGACCTGTGATTTTAGCCTTTTTCCAGTAGAATTCTCCTGGCTCCTGACCAAGTCAGAGATCACTGACTGGCTCCATTTTTTTTTTCCTTGGGAATGAATACAATTGACATAGCTAACTCTGCCTGGACATCACCTGGGAGACCAGACCCTGGCATCCGAGGTATGAGTGAGGCCAAGCCCAGAGCCAAAGAACGGGGAGAGACCTACACCAGGCAGCCAGCTGCTGCTAGGTGGAGGAGCTGGGTCAGGGAAAGCATCGTCTGTTTTATAGGCAGCACACAGCCACGTGTGGGAACAAG